ATTATTCAGTTCCTCAGCCATTTCCTTGTTCCCCACGACTATCTCTCCACCGTCATTTTCCAGTGGTCCAATGTCCACTTTTGCTTCTCTTTTGCCCTTTATCTACCTAAAGAAACTCTTACAATCTTCATTTATATTACTGGCTAGCTTACCCTCATATTTAATCTTCTCCCTCCTTATTTTTTTTTTGTTGCCCTCTGTCGGTCTTTGTGAGCTTCCCAGTCCTCTGGTTTCCCACTGCCCTTCACCACATTATATGCTTTCTCTTTTGCTTTTATGCTATCCCTGACTTCCTTAGTCAGCCAAGGTTGCCTCATCCTCCCTGTACCATGCTTCTTTTTCCTAGGGATGAATTTTTGCTGCATCTCTTGAATTATTCCCAGAAACTCCTGCCATTGCTGTTCCACTGTCTTTCTGCTAGGCTCCTCTTCCAGTCAATTCTGCCCAGCTCCTCCCTCATACTTCTGTAGTCGCCTTTATTCAGCTGTAATACCATTACCTCTGATTCTGTCTTCTCCCTCTCAAATTGCTGAGTAAATTCGATCATATTACGATCACTGCCTCCTAAGGGTTCCTTTACCTTAAGCTCCCTTATTACATCTGCCTCATTGCACAACACTAAATCCTGTATTGCCTGTTCCCTTGTGGGCTCCACCACAAGCTGCTCCAAAAAGCCATCTCGTAGACATTCCACAAACTCCTTTTCTTGCAATCCACCACCAACATAATTTTCCCAGTCCACCTGCATATTGAAATCCCCCGTGATCATTGTGACTTTGCCTTTCTTACACGCCTTTTCAATCTCCTGGTGTATCTTGCACCCCAGCTCCTGACTACTGTTTGGAGGCTTGTACACAACCCCAACTATGGCTTTTTTTTTTTACCTTTGCGGTTCCTCAATTCTACCCACACAGATTCTACACCATCTGACCCTACTTATTTTCTCCTATTGATTTAATTTCATTTCTCACTAATAAGGCAACCCCACCCCCTCAGCCCACCTGCCTATCTTTTCGATAGGATGTATATCCTTGGATATTCAGTTCCCAATCCTGATCCCCTTGCAGCCATGTCTCCGTGATGCCTACTACGTCATACCTGTTTCGATCTGCACCACAAGCTCAATTACCTTATTCCTTATACTGTGTGCATTTAGATATAACACCTTCAGTCCTGTATTAACTCTCTTTAATCTGTTCTTTAATCTGTTAAAGAAGGTTACATTCCAAAGGTAACCCTGAAAATTACTTCTCTTTCATCAGTTTACTGGATATTAATACAATGCTGTAGTAGCTGTGGGTTCTTCTGTTACAATGTTGTAACATAACCTGTTTTCAATCATTCAAGATTTCCTAGTGCTCATCAACTGCTTTATGCTGATGTCAGTCTTTACAAAATCCATCTTTCCTCTTAACATTTTGAGGCATGAACTAATGTGTACCTCAATCTATTTTGAGCCATTTTACCTTAAAAATGGCAACACATTTGCTTCACAATTATTCATTTTAATTAGGCTGTAGTTATTTAGGAAAATATGTTGCTCCTGCCTTCTCCAGTAAATAAAGTGGAAGAAGCAATTAATCAGAACAATAATCATTGTTTATTGTGCTCATCTACAGTTTTTGCGCATTAATACCGTTTTAGCTTTCTCCCAAACGAATATGAAAAATTCTGCATGTTGAGTTTTGTGTCTACAAAGATGTCTGCCCAGATTTTCTCTTCACCCTTTCAGTTCAAGTTTGCATTCTTTCTTTAATCCTTCTACATCTAAGATCAGAGAATAATCTGGTTTCCTCTACTTGGATTTTTGATTGAGACGTAAACAAGTTCAGAGTTCCAGACAGTTTTCTGTGGAGTCGGTTGTCCTCTTTTAGTCTGCTGTCAGCTTGTCATTCTTCAGTAATTGTGCACTTTGATGCTACAGTATTGGACTGGTGAGACTTTCCTGGGAGGCCCAACATGAAACTAATTTAAAACTTAGCTGTTTCTACAAGTAACATTTAGCTCAAATTGCTGTTTAAACCAAGCTTCTGAAATTTAGTTTGGACATGCAATTTTTATTTAACTGCTGAAATAGTTATTTTATTAACAATTAGTAATTTTTTCTGTAGGAAGAACTGCAGTTATTTCCAGCTGTAATAATTTTAATCTTTCAATCATGATTGAGTACAACCAGTATGGTGGTATGTTGAATTTAATCAGGCTTTAAGGTTGGACAGTTATACAGTTAAAATGTATCATGACACGTGAGACCCTGTTCAGATCAGATAAGATGGTTGATACAAACAACATTTTCTTCCTCTCAGTGCTTCATGTCTTCATAACTTTTCAAACTATACATGAGTTTAGAGTTACTCTCCACTAAGCGCACTGAGGCCTCCCAAAGTTTCATACTTCATACCTTTTCTCAGGGACGGATCCCCTTGATCATTAGCAAGGTATTTTGCCCAATGACTATGTACTTGATACTGAAATACACCACATCAAGTTCTTTGTCTAAATATTGGTGGAAAAACCCACTTTTAATGTTAATCATGTCATGCCCTGGAGAGGAAAAATAGACAAGTCAAGGATGAAAATTGACCTTTGACTTTATGACTGTTACTTCTCTACTAATCTGTCTCTTCTGATCTCGTACTGTACTAAATTATAGTTTGAATGAAATCTGAATGTAGCCTGTATCGAATTGCAGACCATTGTTCTGGCAACCATTAGTTTCTGAAATTTGTTTTCTACATTTTCTGGTCAACAGTAACTTCTGATTGGCAATTCTCCCCACACTAATTCAATTCATTTTAAACTGGGGTCACTTCTTTGTTTTTTTGTTAACATGTTTCTTCCATATTTTTAACCGTATTTTTAGTTGTTTAATTTGCCAATATAGGAATTTAGCATGTAAAGTCGTTATAGGAAAAAATGTTTTAATGTATTTTCTGATAAAGTTCTACAGAATCTAACTGCAGCTTTTAAACATTTTAATGGGAAAGTGGATTGACTTCAAGTCATCGCACTGAAGTTGCAATTTTCATTAAAGCAACTACAAATTTAAAATGAGGATTTACTGTATTAATTTGTCTTGAATTTTTTTTATATTCAGTCATTGGACATGAGCGTTGCTGGCTGGTAAGCATTAATTGCCTGCCCCTAGTTGCCCTCGAGAAGGTGGTGGTGAACTGCCTTCTTGAACTGCTGTCGTCCATCTGCTGTAGATTGACTCATTGTCCTTAAGGAGGGAAATCCATTTGCAAACCTAAGGAAGAAAATTATGGCCAGTGCGTCAATTTCCACTCTCCTTTCCCTCAAAATCTTTGATTGTATTTCATCCTGTATTGGAGCCTTTTCAAATTTAAGTACGGTAAGCCTCTCCATTACCTCCACCTTACCAATATTAATCCTTCAAATATCTGAATTAACCTCATCATTTACCAAGTCCTGCGCAGCAGTTTCTTCCTTGGTAAAGACAGATGCAAAGTATTCATTTATGACCGAATTTATACTTCACCATTTTTCATAAATGCTCTTTTTGATCTCCAATCGATCTCAATCATTACATTTTAAATTATCTAACAAGCCTGTAATATAGTCTATTAAATTCTCACCTGGATCTATCATGGGCACCCTGTTTTTCCTTCATCTCTTCAACTACTAATTCGAAACAAAGAAACATTGAAAATAGGAGCATTAGGTCATTTGGCCCTTTGAGCCTGCTCCTGTCATTCATTATGATCATGGCTGTTCATCCAACTCAATAGCATGTTCTTGCTTTTCCCGCATATCCTCTGATCTCTCTAGCCCAAGTATTGTATCTAAATTCTTCTTGAAATCATACAACGTTTTGGCCTTGACTGTTTTCTGTGGTAGCGAATTCCACAGGCTCACCACACTCTGGCCGAAGAGATTTCTCCTCATTTCTGTCCTAAATGGTTTAACCTATATCCTTAGACTGTGGCCCCGGTCTGGTCAATCCCTGCCATCGGGATTGTCCTTCCTGCATCTACCCTGTCTAGTCCTGCTAGAATTTTATAGATTTCTGTGAGATTCCTCTCTCAATCTTCAGAGCTCCAGCAAACATAATCTTAACTGATTCAACATCTCCTCATAAGTCAGTCCGGTAAACCTTCATTGCGTTCCCTCTACAGCAAGAATATCCTCTCTCACCAAAACTGCATTCAATATTCCAGGTGTGGTCTCACCAAGAAACTATATAATTGCAGCAACACGTCTGTTCCTGTCCTCAAATTGAAGGCTTGCTTTGAAAGCCAACATACTATTTGCCTTCCTTACCATCTGTTCCACTTGCAAGCTTACTTTCAGTGGCTGGTGTACGAGGACATCTAGACTGTGTGGTATATTCTCTTCACTCAATTCATAGCCAGATAATAGTCAACTTTCCTGTTCTTGCTACCGAAGTGGATAACCTCACATTTATCCACATTATACTGCATCTGCTATGCATTTGCCCAAGTAGTCAGCTTGTCTTAATCACACTTAAGTATCTCTGCATCCTCTTCACAGCTCACTCCAAGCCAACTTTGTGTCATTTGCAAATTTGAAGATATTAGACTTAGTTCCCTCATCCAAACCATCCAAATCTATTTCCAACAGTTGTTTCTAGAAGCTTCCCATCATTGAATTTAAAGATAACTTATTGATCAACTATAGTGTTGCCTGGTAATCTTTCCTTCCAATTTATCTGGACAAAACCCATTCCCACTCCTTTGAGCAAACATTATCCATGATTGAATTGAAACCAAACAACTTGTTAGGAAAGTATACAGGTAAAATTAATTGTAATGTATTAGTGAACATAGTTGCTAGGACTGTCTAAAAATGTAATTATTAGTATATTAGTCTCAACATTACTTAGAAAGCTTTGTAGTTTAACATTACACAAGGAATAATTTATCTTCTTTTTAATACATTATTTTGTTCTAACCCTCCAACAATCCCTGCTACACGACATGAATACAGATATCTACAAACTTTGAAATAAGCTTTACCTTTATATCTTCTTCTGGCCAAGATTTCAACATTGTAGCAATGTGGCCTTTGTCATGAATGGTAATGAACAATCCTCTAGATGGGGAGGAAAAAATAATAAAAAGAATTTCTTAGTTGAAGAGACATAAATAGCCCAGCACTTCCTAAACCTTTTTGGACTATGACCCCATGCTGAGGCTTGGAAATTGTTATGGCCCTCAGTGGGGGTGGGGAGAAGAAGGAAGGAGAAAACCTATGACAGCAGGGGCAGGAGGTTGGCCATTGCTGCCTCAGTGATCATTATTCCAAAATTTCAGCTTGTAACACCTACTTTCACAAGCCTTGGTACAGTCAAAGATTGTTTTTGTTAAAACATAGTTGAATTCTCAATTTACTTCATTTGTTTTCCATTGGAACTGTTACGGTGGGAGGTCCAAATTGGGGTGAACACCTTTCATAAAGAATACTATTTCTGCTCCTAGTTTCCCCCTCTTTCCCCTTTTATTCACCCAACTAACTGACTTAAAAAATGGCACACTCCCAAAGTCATGCTCTGAATGACTTTTGACCTTGTTCACCCAACAGCTTTTCAATGATAGTTGAACTTAATACCAGTAAGCATGACATATAATGCATATAAAATGATATAAAATGACTGAGGCGCTTCGTGGAAGCATTGTAAAAGAATGCGAAACTGACCCAGATAGGTAGATACTAGGTCGGAGAACAAAAGGGAGCATATTAAAGGAGGAAAATGTCATGTGGACATCTGTGGCAAGGTCAGCTTTGTTACTCATCCCTCGCTAGACCATTTCAGAGGTCCAGAGTTACATGTAGGTCAGAACAGGTAGGGATGGCAGAGTTCCCTTCCTGAAAGACATTCGTGATGATGATGAGATAGTAGGAACTGCAGATGCTGGAAAATCTGAGATAACAAGGTGTAGAGCTGGATGAACACAGCAGGCCAAGCAGCATCATAGGAGCAGGAAGGCTATCAGAGATAGTAGGAACTGCAGATGCTGGAAATTGAAGATGATGGTTTTTTCTCCTGACAACCTATGGTAGTTTATACAGAGACTAGCTTTATATTCAAATTCCACTAACTGTATCAGGACGGCATTAGCAAGGGCCTCTGGATTACTGGGACAGTCAGCACGAGTGGATATGTTGCGTAGTAACATAGAAAATACGAGCAGGAGTAGACCATTCAGCCTTGCGAGCTTGCTCTGCCATTCATTATGATCATGGCTGATCATCCAACTTAATAATCTGTTCCCACTTTTCTCCTATATCCTTCGATCTCTTTAGCCCCAAGTGCTGTATCCAATTACTTCTTTAAATCATCTTGACTGCTTCATGTGGTAGCCAATTCCATGGGCTCACCACTCTCTGCATGAAGAAATTCCTCCTCACTCAGTCCTAAATGCTTTATTGCTATCCTTAGACGGTGAACCCTGCTTCTGGATTCCCCGGTTATCGGAACACTCTTTGCGCATCTACCCTGTCCAGACCTGTCAGAATGTTATGAGTTTCTCGGAGATCCCTCCTCGTTCTTCAGAACTCCAGCAAATAAATCCTAAACGATGCAGCCTCTCCTCATACGTCAGTCCTGCCATCCCTGGAATCAGTCTGGTAAACCTTTGCTGCATTCCCTCAGTAGCAGGAGCATCCTTTCTCAGATAAGAAGACCAAAACTGCACTCAATATTCCAGGTGCAGTCTCACCAAAGCCTAAGTAATTGCAACAAGACCCAACTTCCTGTATTTGAATTCTTTTGCTATGAAGGCCTATATATAGTTTGTCTTCTTTACTGCATGCTGCGCCTGCATGCTTACCTTCAATGACTGGTGTACAAGGACACCCAGATCTTGTTGAACATTGAAAACAACAAATGCTGGAGATCACAGCAGGTCAGACAGCATCCACGGAGTGAGAGCAAGCTAACTTTTCCAGTCTAGATGACTCTTCAGCAGAGCTAATGGGAAGTGTGCAGGGGACAGCATTTATACTATAGTTGGGGAGTGGGGTTGTAGTATAGAGTGCTGGTGGAGAGAGGATGTAGATAGTAGATTAAGTGATTGGAATGGGAGAATGGTAGAACAATGGTGTATCTAACTGCCAGACTTGAAAGGACAGACTGTCCCACTGGGCTGGGGGGAGGGGAGAGAGGACATGGTGACAGAGGATGTAACAAGCTGCAAGAAAGGGAAGAATGGGAGTTGGTTCACATTTTGAAGCCATTGAACTCAATATGCAGTCCAGGAAGTTGTGAAGTGCCTAGTCTGAAGATGAAACGTCGTTCCTCCAGTTTGCGCTGTGATTTCAGGAGCACTGCAGCATGCCAAGGACAGACATATGGGCATACGAGCAGGGTGCTGTGTTAAAATGACGGATTACAGGAAGGTCAGGGTCATGCTTACGCACAGACCGCAGCTGTTCCACAAAGCAGTCACCCAGTCTGCATTTGGTTTTGGTTTCTCCAATGTAGAGTAGGCCACATGGTGGGGAAGGGCGGGGTGGTGGTGTGGTTGTGGTGGTGATGGAGAGACAGAGAGAAGGTGGTGGTGGTGCAGCGAATACAATACACAAGATTGGAGGAGGTACAGATGAAATGCGTACAGATGAAATGCTGCTTCATGGGAAAGACTGCTTAGGGCCTTGGATGGTGGGCAGGACGGGGGTGAAGAGGCAGGTGTTGCACCTTCTACAGTTGCATGGGGGAAGGTGCCACGGGAGGTGAGTGTGGAGATTGAATGGACGAGGGTATCCCTGAGGAAGCGATCCCTGCAAAATGCAGACGGTGGGTGGGGGGGGAGGTGTTGGTGTGAGGGGAAGAAGTATTTGGTGTGGCTTTCTGCTGGAGTTGTCTGAATTTTTGGAGAATGACCCTTGAATGCCGAGGGTGGTGGGATAAAAAGTGAGGACAAGGGGGACCCAATCACACTGTTGTGAGTGATAAGAAGGGGAAAGGGCAGAAGCACGGGTGTTAGATGCAGTTGAGGGCCCTGTCAACCATAGTGGGCAGGAATCCACAGTTAGGAAAGAAGGAAGCCATGTCAGCAGCACTGTTTTGGGAGGTGGCATCATCTGGTACTGAGACTGGCTCTAATGTAACAAAGGGTACGTCAGGTTCCAAGCGATCAATTGTGACAGGGAACTCTCTATTCAGAGGCACAGACAGAGGATTCTGCGGCCAGCAGTGAGGTATCAGAATGGTGTGTTGCCTCCCTCCAGCCAGGATCAAAGATATCTTAGAGGGTGTGCAGAATATTCTCAAGGGGAGAAGAAGCAACAGGAGGTCGTTGTACACATCGGAACTAATGACACAGGAAGAGAAAAGGATGGGATTCTGAGGGGACAATATAGGAAGTTAGGCAAGTGCGGAGATTAGCTAGAGCTGTTAGGGAGGATTTAAATTAGTAAAGGGTGCTGGGGGGAGGTGGGAGAGAAAGACCCAGGGAGATAGTGAGGAAAGAGATCAGTCTGAGACTGGTACAGTTGGGAAAAGGGGCAAGTCAAACAATCAGGACAGGTAGGTACAAGGCAGAAAACAAGGTAGGACTGATAAATTAAACTACATTTATTTCAATTCAAGAGGCCTAACAGGTAAGGCAGATGAATTCAGGGCATGGTTGGGAACATGGGACTGGGATATCATTGCGATCACAGAGATGTGGCTCAGGGATTGACAGGGCTGGCAGCTTAATGTTCCAGGGTATAGATGCTATAAGAAGGATTGAAAGTTGGGGGGGAGGGGCAAGACAGGAGCGGGAGTGGAGTATTTGATTAGACATAACATTACAGCTGCATTCAGGGAGGATATTCCTGGGAATATGTCCAGGGAACTTATTTGGGAGGAACAGAGAAATAAGAAATGGATGATCACCTTACTGGGATTATACTATAGATCTCCCAGTAGTGAGCAGGAAATTGAGAAACAAATTTGTAAGGAGATCTCAGTTATCTGAAAGAATAATAGGGTGGGTATGATAGGAGATTTTAACTTTTCAAACACACACTGGGGTAGCCATAGTGTTAATGGCTTGAATGGAGAGGAATTTGTTGAGTGTGTACTAGAAAACTATCTGATTCAGTATGTTGATGTACCTACTAGAGAAGATGCAAAACTTGACCTACGCTTGGGAAATGAGGCAGGGCAGGTAACTGAAGTGGGGGAGCACTTTGGGGCTAGTAATCATAATTCTATTTGTTTCAAAATAGTGATGGAAGACGATAGACCAAATCTATAAGTTAAAGTTCTAAATTGGAGGAAGGTGAATTTTGATAATATTAGGCAAGAACTTTCAAAAGTTGATTGGCAGCGGATGTTTGCAGGTAAAGGGACGGCTGGAAAATGGGAAGCCTTCAAAAATGAAATAATGAGAGTCCGGAGACAGTATATTCCTGTTAGGGTGAAAGGCAAGGCTGGTATGCGTAGGGAATGCTGGATGACTAGAGAAATTGCGGTTTTGGTCAAGAAAAGAAGGAAGCATATGTCTGCTATTGACAGCAGAAGTCCAGTGATTCCCGAGAACAAAGACAGTAGGAGTATACTTAGAAGGGAAATCAGGAGGGCATACAGGGGACATCAGATAGCTTTGGCCAATAGGGTTAAGTAGAATCCAAAGGGATTCTACAAATACATTAAGGGCAAAAGGGTAACTAGGGAGAGAATAGGGCCACTTGCAGATCAGCAAGGCCACCTCTGTGTGGAACCGCATGAGACGGTGGAGGGGGAAGATACTAAATAAGTATTTTGCATTACTTGCGTTTACTGTGAGAAGGATATGGAAGATAGGGAACATGGGGAAATAAATAGCGACTTCTTGAAAAATGTCCATATTACAGAGGAGGTGGCGCTGGACATCTTAAAACACAAAGGTGGATAAACCCTGGGACCCGATCAGGTGTACCCTAGAACTCTATGGGAAGCTAGAGAAGAGATTGCTTGGCCCCTTGCTGAGATACTGGTATCATTGACAACCACAGGCAAGATGCCACAAGATTGGAGGTTGATTAATTTGGTGCCACTATTTAACAGTGGTAAGAAAAATCCAGGGAACCATAGACTGGTAAGCCTGACATCGGTGGTGTGT